CTCTCTCTCTCTCTCTCTCTCTCTCTCTCTCTCTCTCTCCGCCGAAGCGCTTAGCTTTCAATAGCGGCAGTGTTCCTTCTATTGATACCCGTAACAATGTGGACCCCCGAAATATTCCTTACCGATTAGGATTGATAGATAAATGGCTTGAAAGGGCCGATTATGTGTCTGCTGGTCGCGCGTGAAAGGGAGGTTTTTGCTGTACTTTCCTGGTGTCTTCTTATCAAACGTTTTTTCAGTTTGGGTTTGGTTTGTTTTGACAGCACTTTTTCCGGAGGGCTACGGTATCCAAATAGGAATATATGTGTCACGACGTGGTGGAATCAGGCGCTCGTCATTTTTGGGGGCATGTGGCGTTATCGGTATTATCTGAAAGCTTATTTATTTGCCTTGCTTTTAGTTAAAAAGAATACACAATTATCTCGAATAAAAGTCGAGATATTTGTAATTGAAGGGGGTGGGGTCGTCTGGTCTCAGAGGAAAAATTAGCGAGAAAATGGTCCCCAAAGTTTGGAAACTTCAATAGTTCGAGTATAAGAGTACCTGAAACTAAAAATCTACATATTATGTTGTGCCTTTAATCAATGTTTTTCAGTAAAATTCACCTGTAAATTTGTTTTTATATGGACACAAAAAGTGTTTAGCCTAAAAACAGAATTTCGATTAAAATGTTCAAACAGGCAGAAAAATGTCTGTAACTTCAATTTTTATTTATTTTTGACGTGCGCCTGATTTCCTCACGATGCCTCGCAAATGGATTTTATCGGTTCAAGAGATTGAACTACGATTATTCTACTTTTCTATCTGTCTGTTTTTCCATTGCCCGACTTGCTTTTGTTTTGTGTCTGTTTTCAACTGGACTTAACGCACAGTAGTTGATGAATAGCCAGACTGTATATTCGTCGTGAGAGTTATTTAGTGAGGCATACACAGCCACACCCATGGTTGGAGTGTGTGTGTGTGTGTGTGTGTGTGTGTGTGTGTGTGTGTGTGTGTGTGTG